TGAGGAATTAAAACTTCGTTTCGCAAATTTGGATGGGTATAGGTTTAGATCTTTGGATAGTCTCTAATTTGTAATTTGTATAAGGATCGAATATTGATATAATGGATTGTACGTTGTATTTTATTTGTTAAATCTCTTTTAGTAAACTCTCCCATGATTGTAACGAATGAATTCCTTGAGTCACTGTATAAATAAAGAACGAGAACGTTACACGATTTTAACAAGGGGCCGGCGGTTTTGCGCTTAATAATTGAATGAAAAAGTTTTCAGTGTTGGGTTTTTTATGATTAAAGATTTTTGGAACAATGATGTTTTTCTTTTATTGTGTGATTCCTTCGCAATAGAATAAAAGCATAAGAAATTAATTTGGCCAAAGACAAGTGAACCTTAAATTTGCGCGCATAGCCGTCAAATAAAGAACAATAAATTATTGTAGAAACATGAGGCAATAAAACCAACACCACCACTAGGTGCGAATGATTTGAAAATCCTTGGCGTTCAAGATACTGTAACTAGTTATTTTTATGAAATGAAATATCAGGTCCCTAGTCATAGTTCTTTATCAACTAACGAGAGATAATTATCTTGTGGATGAGTAGATCCTTGGTAAATTTGATTATTTATTTTTAGTACAGCTAAAAAAAAAAAAAGTTTATCGTGCGACATAAAAATCATATAAATACATTCATATACAAAGAACCATCGCAATTATCACAATGTCAAACCTTAACAATGTGGATTACGACGAAGATGATGCTTTTCTCTATGGTACATTAGAGAACGAGACGACTACAGAACAAGTGGAGAATGAAGGTAAAGGTTCCGAACCTTCACTGTTCGACAATTTCTACTAGATGTATATTTTCGGAGCTCTGGGATCGTTCCTTGCCGATCCGCGGAAGATTTTTTTTTTCTTACAACCCATCACTTTCAAAATAAAGCAGTGCGATTCTCATATGATAATGTTAGTTTTAATTCCTCTCTTATTATTTTTTAACAACAAACACCATAGCGAATCCCTCTTCCAGCAAGATAAAAAACGATGAGATTGATGAAGGTACGATAATTCGACTACAATCTTACGTAGACGGCCTAATATAGTTAGTTTTTCGTTTCTTGTTTCTTTATTCCCTTCATTTATCGTTGTTGTTGTTGTTGTTGGTTTTTTTTTTTTTTTTTTCATACATAGTCATCCTATTTGTAACAAATTATGCAAAACTCTAATAAAGAATTATTTTTTCTTTTGATCCACATTTTAACTGTCTTTATCTTGATTATTTTTACGTATTATTTGGGTCGTTTCGACAATAATTGATATATTGGTTCTCATCAGACGACGATCTCTTTGATTTATATGGGGACGAGTCAAAGTACGTGTGCAAACTTTCTTCTTGCGTCGTGGAAATTTTATTAATTTTACCTCATTACTATTCTTTTGCGTAAACGTGAACCTTATAAAGCAATGATATCAATAAAGTGAACGAAGACTCGGGACAAATCGGAACAGATCAAATCGTGGTGTATGTGCACTCATATTTCGTGTTGGACGATTGTAAAGTCAAGTCTTCGCAATTTGCTTTGCCGCTCTTGTCGACCTAATCAAAAATCACCGTAAATTTGCTTGTTTGAATTTATAAGAAATGAAGGCGATAATGAAATAGATCAAATTTACCCAGAGGACATACAGGATGTTGATCCCCTGGAACCATTGGAAGAGAATGGCAATGTAGAAACACATGAGTCGGCGGAGGAGCAAGAACAGGGACAACTGAGTAAAGAAGTCACGGAAGAAGACGAAGAAGAGGAGGATAGTGAATCTGTATAAGGAATTTTCCAATATCCTTGTAAACGTATTTATTTATTTATTTATTTATTTAATGTAACTAAAATTTTATGTCAATTACGATTTAAAGGACATAGAAATTATTATGGATTCTGTACCGCCGCCGAAACCATTAGATAATGGCAATAGGTATTAAATAACATAAATTTCTTTTGTGATCTTCATCTATTGATGCACATTTAAAATCCTTTTTTTTTTTTCATCCCGCAAAGAAATTCTCTTGTGAACATAAAGCCCAACAATTTTAATAAGCCGATTGGGCAACCACGACATGGTAGGTTTATTTGGCATCCCATGATGTCGAAGTTTACTGACATTTCCTAAATGAATCAACTTTTTTCTTTCGTTAACGGAGAATATAGAGGGCGGGCAAGCGTCTTCGAGTCGAAATCCTGGGGTTGATATTAATGCCATCGGAACAATTGACGGGACCAGTATATATGACGTAGATTTGGATTCGGTAGAGGACAAACCCTGGAGAAAACCCGGTAATAATTGAACAAGTCGTTTAATCGACCTTAATCGACCTTCGCTCATTTTATTAATTACGTTGGAAACAATGACAGGGGCTGATATTACGGACTACTTTAATTACGGGTTTAACGAGTATACCTGGAAAGCCTATTGTGCAAAGCAAAAACAAATGAGAGAGGATCAGCATTCAAGGAAGAAAATTCATGTATGTTTCATTCTACATCGGATAAATATAAAGAATCATTCGTGGACATCCTCATTTTTATTGTTTTTTTTTTTTAGGTATATGAATCTAAGCAAGAAATGAATAACTTGCCACCAGAACTACAATCAATAAGTCAATCTCAAGCAGGACTAGATCATCCGAGGTTCCAGCAGCAACGAGGAAGAGGTTAATATTTGTATTGCGTAAATTTTAGACTCGGTTGTAAATTTACATAATCGAAATTCTTTTAGGACGTCGCGGACGAGATCAAGATGATTCTGTGATTCAGGTAGTTTCTAGTGAGAGAGAAGCAGCTTTGGACGAATTAGAGCCTCTGTGAGTTCGATTTGTTGTAGGAAAAATTTCCTCAAAAATTTATCACCTTCCCTCAATATATAATTATTGGACATGAATTTTTTTTTTTACATAGTCCACAGCCAACAATCATGGATGGCCATCAGAATGACGATTATGGAATGGAATCAGGTGGTTATCCGCAAGATTTTCAAGGTTTAATGCTACACTGCTAATTAATTGTCCGTGTGTATGTACAACGTTGCTAAACCAATTTAACAAAGAATTCGGTTTAAATAGGTCCACCAATGGGGATGGGAATGTTTCCGCCACCGGTAAAATTAATTTTCGATGTACTTTCGTTCAACATGATTCCTTCATAAAAATCCTTAACTAAAGATCTATTAAGGACATGCAAATGGGTCCCCACCCGCCATTTTTCATGGGAAATCCGGACATTCCACCATCTGGCCCAATGGGATTTGATCATGCATATCGGGGTGGTCAAGGAATGCGTAACATGAATAACATGGGCAATATGATTCGTCCCACGGGGATGCCGGGAGGCATGCCCGGTATGGCGACCCGAATGCCTCCCACAATGCCAGGCGGCGGCATGCCCACTGGTGGAATGCCCGGAATGCCTCGGGGAATGCCTGGAGGAATGGTTGGTAGAGGTCGTGGCATGGCGATGGACGAAAGGTAAGTAATACGAGACGTTTGCTCCATCAGATTGTATTCATACCTCGTTGAAAAATTTTCTACATACGTTTTTTTAGGCCTTTCTTTTCTATGGATGATCAATGTATGTGACAATGTTTGAATTCCAGTATTTTTCCCGTAGGGAAATTTAACCTCCTACGCTTTCTTATTGCAATTGCACACGCGCACTCGCCTTTAAATTTGTTCACGCGCAATAAACATTTGAGTCGTAAACTGTTGTATGTTGATATTTTATTCATAAAAAAATTTACCAGCATGGGAAATAGAAAATCGCAATACACAACCGTATCGTCCTGTATTTCAAGGTCGACCACCAACTGGCCCGATGCATGGTGCCGGGGTGAATCGATCGGATTATAATGATTGGGAGCACTCTCCTCCACCAGATGCTCCATTTGCACACAGGTTACGACCACCCTTCAGGACCGGCGCGCCACCCACTGGACCTGCCGACCATCGTGGACTTTCTGCATCAGTAGAAAGTCCGAGTTCAGACCGAGGTGAAGAAGAAAGATCCGGAGATAATCGGAGTGCATCAGGGAGTGCGGAGCGATCACATTCGGGTGCATATGATCGGGACAATAGGGTATTTTTTTTTTTACTATTCTATTTACGGTATACCCGAGTCCTACTCAACTATTTCTATGCTAAATAAATAGATTTATCCTCGTTCACGAGAAGATGAACGTTGGGATGGGTAATTTGATTTATTGCCATAAGAAGTCATCAAAAAATATCTATCTATCCGTGTATATGCATATATTGATTAGACATGAACTTTCTGACATATAGTTCACGAAAGCGAACTACTGGTGAAGCACCACGTGATGACGATGAATTCCGGGCAAAACGACGGCATTAAAATCTACGAATATTCTTTTATCTGAAAATTTTCATTAAAACCATATGATGCATTCTATTATTGTAAATTTCGCATTCTTTCTTTTTTCCCAAGTTTTGAAGAAATGCAATTGTGCAACAGTACTTTGTACATAATTAAAATCACAGTGAATGGACATTTACCAATCAATTGATTCCAATACAAGTTAATAAACTTCAGTGTAACCTGAAATGGTGAACGTTTCATTAACTGTGCATAAGATGTGAATTGTTGACCAACGAAATTAGGTTTTTAAATTTCATAGTCACAAACCTATATAGGCTGCCTGATGGAAGAATGCTCATTTTCTCATCTTTTTAATATCCTCCTCCAGACTCATCCGATCCCGATCCCACGAAAATAAGAAATCACTTTGCCCTTCTATAACCGGGATCTTTAATTGTACATACAATAGAATAAGATTTATCACAAAAAAAAATCAAATAGTAGACAAAAACCAAAACATTAGATTTCAACCTTAACATATAATAAAGAATGGAGCTTTTCATTATCATCATAGCATTTTTTATCGTTACGGTATATCTCAGTTGTATAACAATATACTGCCTATATGGGAAAGATAGAAATAACGAACCAGACGAATACATGGATCTCGAACTTAAGCGATCAAAATTGAATATATTTCGCTTATTCTTTTGGAGATTACGTGCCGAAGATGATAACGATAATTACTCTTACGTGCCGTTGAGCTCCCTTGCGGTGGTGGACGAGGACGATTTTAGCGAGGTCTGCGTAAAACCCGTGTTCTCGGAAAAACCGGAAGTGGAAGACATCACCGCCGACTCAAATTTTTAATTCGAAAACATCCGTTGTAAAATTTTTACCCTTGTGAGGGGGGATTCGGTTAAAAAAATCATTTTAGAGAAATAGTAATCATAAAAAAACATTTATAGAGAAATGGTAATTATAAAACACGCATTACAAACAATACCTGTAAAGAAAAAATAGAATGGAATAAATAATATTTCAGATAGTATGCGGCCTATATTATACAATGAATGCGGTCGGATGGATCGGCTCGTAATATCGGAAATCATATGATCACGATATTTATTACATCATGATGCATGCTGTATATAGTAAGCATTTTTGCCTAAATCCTGTATATTTGAAAAAAAATTTTTTTCAAGTATTTATTAAATAAAAAAACTATGTTATAAATAAAAAAAAATATATATATATATTTTTTTTTGCTATAAAACTAAAAACTCTTTCCGCTAATTCTCTGATCATACACAAAAAGATGTTTGCAAGAAGGTTTTATATTTCTTTACTAATAAAATCTTAATATTTTTCTTAAAACAACTTGAAGTATGACTTCAAGAGTTACCTCTACCCTTTCTTTTTTGTTTACAAACTTTTTCACTCAAAAACTTGATTACTAGTGATCCAGAAAAGTCAAATAACATCTTTAATATCAAGAGCAAAAAAGTTCTTAAAAAAAGAAGAATTAATTATAAAGTACTTGAAGACATATCTAATCTTTTATTAAGAAATTTTTTTGG